TCGCTGCAGTCCGTGGACGGAACACCGGCGGGGGGGGGGGGGATAGACATCTGTGCGAGTGAACGCCTGTGGCGTTAAGGAACAGAGTTGTGTTGGTTTCACAATCTCTCTGAGACTGCGAGGAATCGGGAGTCGGCAAGAAATCCCCTGAGTGCAGCAAAGAAGCCCCCTGCAGCAAGAGCTTTCCTGACTCATACGCGTTTCTGGAAGATTATTTATCGCTCCATTTTCCTCTGTCTCGCCGTTGTGCTTTTGCTGTTTGCTGGTGAATTCACACTCAAGGGGCTTGGTGCGGGAGAGTTGCAGCGTGCTCCACAAAGGCGGATTCTGGGAGTAGAGTTGTAAGAGCAGCAGACTGAGTCCCTGGGAGGCAGACGGAGGCTCTTTGACGCACTTCCGGGTTTGGAGTCTCTGTACCAGCTGAGTGAAAGTTCCAGGAGCTTGTGATTTACTGCCTGGCAGCACAAGAACCGTTGCTACGTTCAGTGCGTCTTCGGGTGAGCCAGGCACCGTCCTGCGGCAGTCAGCCCGTTCTGGAGAGCTGCGCGAGGGAGACATGGATGCAGCTGAACCAGGTTCTCTCTCGCCCACGGGGGTGAAATCGTGGTTCTGCTGAAGTCGGGGCTGCGCTGCCATTGCCTCCAGTAGAGGCAGGGTTTCTCCCTAGACCTCTAAAGCTAGAGGTGAGCGAAAGCAAACACCCTGACACCACTGGGAACAGCAGTGCTGGGATCTGTCTCTGGGAAGCAGGTTTTGATCCTGCCTGCCTCTCTTTGGGAAAGACCAGCTCAGAGCCCTACCTCTGAGAAAAGAGAGTCCCATGGGGGGCCTTCTCCTATGTCTCCTTTCTCCCTGTTTGTTGGACTCCACGCCACAGGCCAGGGCAGAGTGTATGTACAGTAGCCCACCCGACAGTGTGTTTCTTTCACATGATGTCTTTTTAAAAATGCCACTTTGGAATAAAGTCCAGTGATTCCTTCCCACATCAGTCCTAAGCTCATGTGTGTTTTTTTCCCTGGGTCTGTAGCAGGGGCTCTTTTATTGCAGTACCTTTTCTTTAGTGGGGAGCCACTGACCCCCCAGAACAGTCAGGCAGGCTCGGGAGGTACACACAGAGCCAGACTGCTCTGATTGGCTCCCAACAAGCAGAACCAGCTCACACCTCTCCAGCCCGGCTCCCGCTGAGAAGCAAAAACAACTAAAAGACACCTTGGAGTGTGAGTGCTGAGGCCAGAGCTTCTGGCTCACAGCACATAGACTTACCCCAGGCCAGATCAAAATAAGCCAGGGACCGGATCTGCCCCCCGGGCTATCGGTTCCCTTCCCCGGACTATTGAGTTGTCACACAAAGCCAGTGTGGTGCCACTCTGAGACAGCTGTGGTATCTACACAGTTCATGCTCATTTAGCTATGTGATTGGCATTCTAAATCGTTAGTTAAATTGCACTCGCAAACCAGTTTTAACTGTGTGACCAGCTGGTCTGTTGTTCATCTCTCTGTAATGGGGTCACCCGAGCGGCATGAAATCAGACCGTTTGCTTTAGTTTCCGAGGGTGATAGAAGATCAAGAAAACAACACATGCGACATGCCAAGAAAATGAAATCGATGGTTCCATCCTGGCAACTCGGGCTAATCCCAGCGGACCCAGCGTCAGCAAAATGATTTTCCTTCCCAGTCACATTTATGTTTTATGCTTCCTGACTCACACACGGCAAACAGCCGCATTAATTGCTTTTTCAGATGCTGCCCGCTCACCAGAACACCCTGGATTGTCAGAGAAGGTAGGTTCTGTTTTGCAACAAGCTTATGAGCTACC